CATATAGCTCGAAGAACCGATAACCGATGGGGAAGAAAGGTTCTCGAGTGGCAGCCTCGTACCGGTAGGCGTAGTGTAGGGCGACCCCCCACTAGATGGAGTGACGACCTGTTAAGATATGCAGGAAGTCGATGGATGCGGGTGGCTCAGGACCGTGCTTTGTGGCATTACTTGGGGGAGGCCTATGTTCAGCAGTGGACTTGTGAAGGGCTGTGATGATGATGATGATGATTTAAATCGAATTACTTCAATACCGCTTAAATTATTATGTGCAATTTTAAGTACTGGTTTACTACGTTACATGTCTACGAATTTTTTTTCTTATTTTTCAGATATGCAGGTTTCCTCACAATGGCTTTCTTGTTCGCCAATCACGCAGTAAATCAGCACTTGAAAGCATTGTTAACAATTTCATTGGTGCCGGCGGGAATCGAACCCGGGCCGTTCGCGTACTGTGAAATTTACACCGAGCGTTTAGACCCTGAGCTTACCACGTACCGAACTGTAAAGGAAATCTTCGTGTGGTTACTTACTTTAGAGGAGTTGCCTTTACTGCTTTGGATGTGGTGGTGACTTCTCCACTTACTTAATAGCATATATAACGACTAGGATTTTCTGTAAAAAAATTATATGAAATACAATTTTAAGATACGAAAAATTTTTGGTTTGGAGTTATCTTTTCTAATAGATGAGTAAACAAAAAACTTAATATACTTGTAATAAGAAGTGCAGCTGGTATTATCAAATATTAGAGATATATTTTGTTCATCCATCAATATCTATGTGATGTGATTATTTTTTAAATTCAAAAGAGTTACATTTTTTCATACAAGCGATCCGCCCCGGCTTCGTCTGAATAAGGTCTATTAAATTTGTGATATTTACATCTAAGCTAAACAAAGACAGATGAAATTTTTTAAAAAAAATTAAGTTTTCCATATTAAATATAGCCCAGCTGAACTCTATGTGCTCGTTAAATTGTATCACAATCGTTTCAGCTATCTATATATAAAAGTTTTAAAATGGTTGTTTACGTATTTACAACATTCAAATAATGAAAAGCCAGTTATTCCAATATTACAGATAAACACTTCAATTATATTTATATGTACAAGCAATTTAAGCTTACGACGAGTGTTTAAGGGGAATATTATTAATTTTTAGAGCATTGTTAATATTCTTTAAAAAAAAAAGATATAGATAGCTGAAGTGATAAACGAATATACAATCTACCTGACTGTAGGTGGCTACTGCAGTCTATGGACACCTGCAGCCAACCTTAAACAAAGAATTCTACAGATACGTTGTCACCTCTGGGGAATAAGATGGAATGATTCACAGCCTGCACATCTATGCTGGCTCTCTATTCTCTTCAAACTTGAACACAGAAGTGCGAACACTGCTATGTGGTGATAGTTTGTTGCCGACAAACCAGCTTACACCTTGGCATAATTAGAAAATTGTAGACTGTACACTCTTTTTTAAGAATAAATAAATAAAAATAAAAGAGTAAAGAAATCAGTAAGTGGGTATCACCCACTCAGACTAACTCAAAGGCATGAAAGGAGGCAAAAGCATTCATATACTTATAATTTGAATTCCTTACTTATCATAATATGAATATATATATAGTCAATAAATGCCTTTACAATCGATTTACGAACGCACGCCGAACGCACGAAACGCCTCAATGCAAAAAAAATTACGTTGTAGGGCCATATTGTAGCTATAGTATGGTTTTAGCACGAATGCATCAGCTCGACTGGGGTAGGACCACACTCTCACAGAATACCAGCGTAAAATAGCAGCACAATGCTGCTGTGTTTTGTATGCCGAGTGTAGAGAACAGAAGATCCTTTTACTGGAAACGAGGCATTCCTTCTTAGTCCTCAGTAGTAGCAACACATTTAGGTTTTAATTCTTAATCCAGGATAGATGTAGATATGTCTATGGGCCACAGCATCCACTTACCAACAGGTGGACTGTGTGCTCGTTTGTCACTCCTATTCTTTAAAAAAAAAATTTGAATTTTCCTATGAAAGAAAGAGCAATAGCAAAACCAAAAGCTTCATTGTACAGCTCTTTGGAAATCGATTCTGGAATATCAAACACAATGGAGCGGAAAACATATCAACGAATCATTTTTTTTACTATTTTATAGCAAAAGCAACATCGCCTCTGTGTGTTTTGGCTTACATTATTACGCAAATTCCCAAAGAGGGCAATATTTTAGAGTATGTAAAATATATGGTTGGAAGAAGAGGTAGACAAGTTGCGCTGGCATATTATTGGATTATCTGAGGTCCGAAGAGGGGCGGAGGACACGGTAATCCTCGAGTCCGGCAACTTGTTCTATCACCGGGAGGGCGACCATCTGTACCACCAGGAGGTGTCGGATTTATCGTCCACAAGTCTCTCGTCAACAACGTTGTAAAGATTGGGAGTGTGTCGACGAGGGTCGCGTACCTGATACTCAGAATCACCAAACGGTATTCGCTGAAGGTCATACAGGTCTACGCACCAACCTCGGCACATCCCAATGAGGAGGTGGAGGAAATGTATGAGGATATTTCTAGAGCCATGCATTCCTCCAAAACCCACTACACGGTGTTGATGGGAGACTTCAACGCAAAACTAGGCACAAGAGAAGGCGGTGAGCTGAAGTTAGGGAAATTTGGAGTAGGGCAACGGAACCGTAGGGGCCAACAGCTGGCTGACTTTATGGAGAAAGAGGGACTCTTTATGATGAAATCTTTCTTACAGAAGCGGCCCCACAGGAAGTGGACCTGGTCGAGCCCCGACGGTTCGACAAAAAATGAGATTGACTTCATTATGACGACCAGACGCCAACTGTTCAGTGATGTCTCAGTGATCGCAAGGGTGAAAACCGGCAGCGATCACCGAATGGTTAGAGGCACACTGAACCTAATCGTTAAGTTGGAGAGGTCTCGTCTAATGAAGTCGACGCTCCGTTCCCCTCGTGCTTTAATCCAGAATCCCGAGACTTTTCAGCTCGAGTTACGTAACCACTTTCAGTGCCTAGAAGATTGCCAAATGGGAAATAACCGTGATAAAAATAAGAAGCGTCTCGGTGGGCGTTAAGAAACAGGCATAAATATGATAAACCTAATGAAATAAGTATCTAACGACCTATCTACTTACAGTATTAGTGATTACAAACTTGTCGGTGCATAGCATACGTCGTGCGGGGAAGTGGGGGCGAAATTAGAATTTGAGCTGACTTACTATATCCCCTTAAATACTGTTTAAAAGCCAGACAGCATAAAATATTTATCACTAAGACCGTCTATACAATTATATTAAGAACTTTATCACAAGTTTTATTAAAAGTTTTGAAAATTTAAATGAGTATGGTCGCCAACTTTAAAATTAAATACATCGTAAATGGTCTTTCAAAATAAAATAAAAATTATTAAATAAACCTAAAGATGACTTTCAAAGATCTATTCTATGACATTCCTTTGACTTTGACGTTGCGAATTCGTGTAAAAAACTATTTAAATGACATATTTGCTGCAAAAAATTACTTAGTAAAATATTTTTAACTTTTTTTCAAGGTCCGGTCGACCAGTTCCGAAATAATGAATGCACATTGCATCGACACACAATCCAGATTTCGTGAATTAAATCCAGTTCTGGAAACGTTTCAAATAATGGTGCGAAATCGATTCCCGGATTGCAGTTTATAAATCTATACGGAAATACTACTGTCCGTTAAGGATTTAAGTGACTTGATTTATTTCGTTTTACGTTTGCGTTTATTCTAACTATAATTTTATTATATTATTATGTTTCACACCTCGGTGTCATCAGTTGCCGTATTCAAAGACAATCTCGAGTTTGGGCTTAAACTCATTAATGTTATACGTCGTAGCTGCTGTTGTATGCTGCAGTTAAATAATGTTGTATAATGGGCCAGTTCGATCTGGGTAGAGCCACGCTCTTACACAATACCATGGTAAGTTATCAGCCTAGAGCTGCTGTGTTTCTCATGGTGAATGAAGTGAAACAAACAGTTATCGGACGCCCAGCACGGCTTCCGGCTAGAGAGGAGCACAACTAGTAACCTCTTAAATGCCATAACGTATTTGGTTCCTCATGTTGATGCAGGGTTGCAGGTAGATGCCGCCTACTTTGATTTTAGAAAGGCGTTCGACTTGGTAGATAACGATATCCTACTGTCAAAGATGGCGAAAGCTGGCGGCACACCTGAACTGCTTAATTTTTTTGCAAGTTACATGAGAGATAGAAAACAGTTGAAGTATGGCGAACAACTTGTGAAGTATGGCGGGTACCGGTCGCAGCCTTATTTTACTAGGTCTGATGTGAGTCAAGGCAGTAATTTAGGGCCGTAGAGTTCAACATAATGATTAATGATTTACCCGAAGTAGTAAGAGAGGCTAAATGTCTGTTATTTGCAGACGACCTAAAGTTGCTTTTAGCCATCGAGAGTGAGGATGATTGTCGCCACATTCAGCAAGATATCGACCAAGTAGTAAGTAGTAAGAGCCACAAAAATAAACTTCAGTTTAATATTTCAAAACGCTCTATTCTATCATTTAGTCGTGCAAGGGCACTACTCCATTACAACTATAAGGTGAATGGCGAGCTAATGAAGAGGGAGGAATCAGTCCGGAACCTTTGAGTCCAGATGGATGTCAAATCGATGGCTTAACCTGCAAACCGGCTAACTCCACTTTGAACCAAAATCAACATTTGATATCATCGAATACGCGGGGTTCTCACCTACAGTGTGCAAAATTAAACAACTCCTAGTTTTCTAAATTACCGAGAAAATCGCATGCACGTAAATCGGACAACTCCCAACACATAAATAGCAAACACATTTAAGTGGCTAACTCCGGTGCCAGCCGCCATTTCGTACTAGAAGGCGTACCATAAAGAACTGTGTTCGAGGTGTGAGTTTATTTTTTTGTGACTGTGCGTAAATAACAGATAGTTTAACCTGAAAATAATACATGACGTTGGCGGTAAGTGACTTTATCTAAATAATGTATAATTGTTGTGAATACTCAAAATAAATACCATGATATAACCTGCAAAAGCGCGATGATGGAGTTGGCCATTTTTCATTGTGACAATTTGTTATTGATTTGGGAGTTACCAGTTTTGTGTTTTTATGTAAATTATTGTAAAAAATGATTGAACTGAATTTTAATGGGATTATTGTTACTTATAGACAAAGAAAATGTCGAGGGCGAAAAAAATGATTGAAGCTGCTTGCAACCGAAGCAATCAAAATGACATAATATTTCTCACAAAGGAATCGATTGAAAATATGCCTGTTATACTGGCTTCCGGTTCGTCAATAATTGACACACCAGTTGATGTTGCGGCAACATCTAATGCTATTACAGAATTGGTCATGGAAATGCAGCCACTAGCTGATGGGGCATTAACATCTGATGCTTTTACAGAAGTGATCATGGAAATGGAACCAATAGCCTATGGTTCGTCTCTGTGTTCCCGTCCGTTAATATCGGTTACTGAGGAATGCATGGAATCATCCGGACCAGCTACAACTTCACAGGCTACACCACGTTATGATAACAATGCTACCTGCATTGACAACTATCTAAGCGATGAAAGTGACTCATTACAACTTGTACCCTATTCTGAGCACTCAGATTCAAACAGTGAAGAAGAACCAAGAGGAGGTAAGAGGAGAAAAAGGTGTCAGGTTAACAAGGCAACATGGAATGAATACAAAAAGAAGCTTAATCGGGAAAAGGGGAAGCAGTATACTGGGCGTAAAAAAGGTTGACGGGAAATGGGAAAAAACGCTAAAGAATAAACGAGTGCTTAAACCTCGATGCAAATGTATAAGACAAATGACAAAACTGCTTTAAAATGCTGTGTAATTACAGAAGATGATAGAAAAGTAATATATGAAAGGTTTTGGGGGATGACTTGGGGAGAAAAAAAGATTTTCGTGAATAGTCTTGTACAAGAGATACCTACAAAACGGCCAAGAGATAGAAAAGACCCATCTATTTCAAAGAGAAAAAGCTCAATGATTTATAACTTGCTTTTGAAAGATGAACAGCGTGTTAGAGTCTGCAAAACGATGTTTCAAAATACTTTGTATATCACGAAAATGACCATCTGGAACTGGAAAAAAGGTAAAGAAAATACCTCTCACAATGAAAACCAAAATGTATCTGCCAGAAAAAATCCCCACGAAGAAGAGGTAGAATCACTTAAAGAGTTTTTGAACAATATACCAAAAATGGAATCCCACTATTGCCACAAAACTACATCAAAGCTTTATTTGTTACCAGAATGGACATCAAAAAGAGCCCTGTACAAATTCTACGAAAAATACTGGTGCGCGTCGCGGAATATTAAACCTCTGTCAATAGCAAAATTCAGCAACACTTTAGAAATTGAAAATATATCACTGTTTAAGCCGAAAAAAGATGAGTGCGAAAAATGCCTATCCCATAAACTCGGAAATATATCTGATGCAGAACTTAAGGAACATATAGACAGAAAAAATGAAGCCCGAATTGAAAAAGAAAACGATAAAAATTCAGAAGAACTCGTATTTACGATGGACACACAAGCTGTGTTACTAGCACCTAAATCTAATGTTTCATCTCTGTATTATAAAACCAAGCTATGCACACACAATTTCTGTTTATTGAATTTGAGAAACAAAGATGGATTTAGCTATCTTTGGAATGAAACTGAAGGTGGGCTATCGTCTGACAACTTTGCAACGATAATAGTCAAGTTTATTACAGACAAACTTCTGCCGAGCATTCACAGAGAACCTGAAAAGGATATTAAAATTATATTATACAGCGACGGATGTACAGCACAAAATAGGAACGTGGTATTGGCAAATGCTTTACTGAATGTGGCAACGTTAAACAATATTGTAATTGAGCAAAAGTATTTGGAGGTTGGCCACACCCAAATAGAGGCTGACTCTATGCATGCCACCATAGAGAGGAAGCTGAAAAATAAAATTATTCATGTGCCAGCTGAATATGTAGGAGTTTGTCTAGGAGTACGCATACATCCTAAGCCCTACAACGTATCTTACTTATCGCATGATTTTTTTAAATCCTTTGGAAGCCTACAATATTATAAATCTATTAGACCAGGAAAAGCGACAGGAGACGCTAAGGTGCCTTTAATTTTATTTATATTTGGTCTTATTATTTTATACAATTTTATTGGTATTTTTCTACAGATTTTAGTAGAAGTGTAAAAACCACATTTTACTGTGTAATTCATTAACATTATATTGTTTGTGTTCAGGTCACAGACATTCGTGCGCTGCAATATAAAAAAAGGGAAGATATACTTTAAGCTGAGATTCACAGATGAGTGGCAGTTACTACCACAACGATGTGATAGAAATATCACACCAACAGCGATTGAAAGCTTACCGGATCTTCATGAAAATCGGCTTAAAATTAAAAATCGTAAATTCAAAGACCTCCAGGAATTAAAATCTACAATACCGGTGGACTATAGGGACTTTTACGATAATATCCCACATGAATGAAGACTTATTAAGTAATAAAACATATAATTTTATGACAAAAATATAGTTTTTTTTTTCGCCTAGTACTCAATACATCTAAATATAGGATTCACAGAAAAGTGGACAACTCCCATTTTTTTTTATAGTTTTTAATTTTAAAATGGGCCAACTCCAAAAATCTATTAAATAGGTATGTGATCAATATATTTTTTATACCTTTCAGTTAATTCCGTATGCAAAAAAAAAGCACCAAATGGTATTTTGGAATCTGGATATTGTAGATATTTTATTTTTTATTGAGTTTTTTTTGCCTCCCTGTAAAATTGCATAAAACGGAGTTGGCCGATTTGTAGATTAAGCCATCGAAATTGATATTCCGGGAGCACATCATGAATATATGTAAGAAAGCTTATAAACGACTAAGGTTTATCATTCGCAGAGCAGTAAAATTTACCAACATTAAAGCAATCTCAGTGCTGTATGATGCTCTAGTAAGGAGTCAGCTGGAGTGTAACTCGGCAATATGGGCTCCACAAGAAAATATATACAATCTTATGCTGGAGCGCATTCAGAATAAATTCACGCGATTTATATATCATAAGCTTTATGAGGTTTATCCATCCTACCCCTTGATGTATCCAACCCTGTTTGTTTTAAGTATGGTTGGATACAACAAGTTGGAAACTAGAAGAGATCTAGCGCTGGTAACCTACATTTTAAGGGTGTTCCGTGGTTACATCAACAACCCGGGTGTGCTGCAGTGGATAGGCTTATGCGTGCCCGATGGGTATGTACAGCGGCGACGGCGGCCGAGCTTGCTCGCGATGCCACGCGGCAGGACTAAACTGGTTCGCAATACCCCTCTCACGTGAACGATACACATACTAAATTTGGTAGCGGAGAAGTTGGACTCATTTTCGTGTTCACGGAGTGAGTTCGCAAAAGTGACATTATTTACAATATATTATTCTTAAATTGTATTATACGATTGATTGTAATGTATTGTCACTGAAATTAATTATTATGTATTGTAATTTAAATTAATTATTGTGTTGTAATTAGTAATCTTTTACCATTTGAATTGTTACTTTTTGAATTGAGATGCTACATTTATCGATTTAGGTTTTCCCTGTAATGGTAGATGTTAGTAGGAAATATAAATAAATAAATAATACAATTGTACTAGAAACGAAGCATTCTGTCTTAGTCTTTAAGGGAGACAACGCAGCTGAATTTTGGTTCTTTGTTGAAGATAAATATCTATAGGCCAATGCTTCCACTTACTATCAGGTGGTGGGTACACGCGTTTGTCACTCTTATTCTATAAAAAAATACACTTCACACTCATAAAACACAAAGATTTTTCACTGTATAAGAAGTATTACGTGTAAATTACAGAAAATTGTGAATTTTGTTATGAGGCCCGGCTCGACTCCGGTTTTTTCATTAAGTTTTCATAATACAATACGTATTTCAGAATGACTATCTCAGAAATAGTTTATAATACATACACTGATCTATATTACTGATTTTTATTTGATAATATATTACTGCCTTTTCTTCAGTGTTATAAGTTAGTTGTTATTTCGTTGACATATTAATGTTATTAATTTTTTCTAAAAAAGTTTTTCTAAATACTAAGATATTTTAAAATTTGTAAGTGTCTTAATATTTATCTTTCCGTGTAGTTGTCGCGTACGATAAATACAATATACCATTTTATTCCGTTGGTGTTATATAAGGTAATAGGTGGTAACTGAAACAGGAAATAGGCTATACGTGGTAAAATCACACTGCGTACTATATTATGGTTGTAACATAAAGGTTTGGCTCGGCCGAGGAAAGATCTCACTCTTTCAGAATACCAGCGTAGAATAGCAGCATAAAGAATCGGCGTTTTGTATGGTGGGTGTAGAGAACCGTAGATCCTTTTCACTGAAAACGCAGCGTGTCATCTTAGTCCATAAGGACTACAGCGCATCTGCATTTTTATTCTTAATCGATTGAGGGTAGATTTATATGTCTATGGTACACAGCACCCAGTCACTGTCAGATGAATTGTGTGCTCATTTTCTGACTTATTTTCTTATGCCGTCAGATAACACTCTTTGTCATTTGTCTTAAATTACTTTTAATTTTTTACAATTTGAGAATATCTTGGAGTTTCTCGAGCACAGGGTTCTTATATCGTAAAAATTATTCGGATAAAGCTCCATAAGTCCTAGGAATCCAACTTGCCTTAATCAATCCCTACACTTTACTATAATTTTAAGTATCAAATCAACTTACAGCCTACCTCATGATAAATGGCTGCTGCAGCCCATTACCACCTGCAACCAACTTCAAGCGAAGAAGTCTACAAGTACCAACTCTGAGGACTAAGATGGAATGCCTCACAACCTGTTAGTTTACTGGTACTCTTTATGCTTCAGGCTGAAACACGCACTACTATTTGGCGGCAGGTGTAGGTAAGAGTATCGCAGACGGACTGCAGGAAGAAACGGAGTGCAAACAACTAGTAAAATGGGGCAATACCACGACGCAGTGGAATATGGCTGCAGCACATACTCGTATGGGTTCGCTCGACCCGAAAATTACTTTTACGATGGCTCCGTGCCGCAGTGGCTAAGCATTAGATCGCAACACTACAGGTCCGTGCGTTTAATAAAATAAAAGGTTAAGAGAAACGCTCCCAAAATTAATTTTAACAAAGTATTATGAAAATCCTTTCTAAAATGTTATTATTAAGGCTCTAAGAGCAGGTGAAATGCATCAATACAAAGGTATTTTAGTCATATTTTGGGATATTTCTCCAAAACGATGACCTAAAGAATCATCCTACATAGTACAGGTTCGAATTTCAAAAATAAATAGAGCGCCCCCAGTGTCAATAAATTTCATAATCTGACACGCATTTGATCTTTTCGTCGTTTGTGGTTCGCACAAGTAATCGAAAACATAAAACCGGTCCTTCGCACAATGGGGAAGTAATGAACGGTGAAGCATTTTTACAGAAGGCGACAAAATGGTGCGGTCGCGCGTGTAATGTGAAAAGTATTTACGAAACCGCAATAACGTTCTGTTTCGACGGACGCGTGAGGATAGTAGCCAGTTTTGAGGTAATATTATGCGATAGTAATAAAATGATGATAACGGATAAACGGTGTTTTTTACAACTTTTTTTTAATATTTTCAACTAAAAAAACATACATTATATTTGTTTTATAATGAGTTAGCGATCCGCTTCGGTTTTGCCTGGATAGGATCTACTGACGTGGCGTAATTTAGATGTAAGATGATCAAAGACCATTTGTTTTATTAAGTTTTCGTTTTTGCACAATAAAAGTCTTTAACTTTTTCTGATAAATATAGTCTAGATTCGTCGTGGTATTGCTCTCTATCTGTTCGTTAAGCTTCATCACGATCGGGTTAGCCGTTCTAAAGATCAGCTCAAACATACATGCAGACAGTTATTCATGTCTTAGTAGCTTGAAAATAAATTTTGAGCCTGTTAAAAGCCAGTTATTTTAGTAACATTACAGACAGACTCTTGAATTTTATTTATATGTTTAGACCAAGTACTGTAGTGAAAATTGTATGGTGCAGATGAATAATGAGGGTTTAATGAATGCTGTAAAATACGGTCATGTTAGGGATGAATGTGAATGATAGGGTGGGAAATTAGGATATAAGAGAAATGATGTAGTTTTTAAGAAGATGTGTAAAATTGTCATTAAGAATTATTATAGGATTGAGACATTTATTTTATTTTATTTAACAAGTACACTTACAATACACATATATAACAATCACGAATACATACACATTTCTATACTCTCTGATATGTATATCAATTACAAGTGTACATAACATTCACAGATTGAGTCATGCAATTTAGGGTTAATTTGGAGTACTAAATATATAAAAAAAAACAGGTTTAATTTTTAAAAGGGAATGTGGTGGATATTATACTCTCTTCAGGAGTATGTATATTTTTAATTAAAGTATAAGATATATTATATTGCAGATGTAATTTGTATCAGAAACTAGATGATAAATAATGAGACATGAACGCGGTGGTTTGGACACGTAAAGGAAAGAGTGACAAACGAAACTGCTGTAGAAGTGAGTGGCAGAGTCGGCAAGGGATATATTTCTTAAATGGTAACTTATCGAGCAAATGAAGATAGACCAGACCATGAATTCCCTTAATTGCCGAGCATGTATACGTACTGATATATGGATATGAAAAAAGCGAGAGAGGTGTGTCAGGACACTTTTTCCTCGTTCATTCTTCCTACATGTCCTAACCACCGAAGCATTCCTTTATTAATCCTGATCACAGCATCATCTTACAAACCACACTTTTCACTTATTACTCAATTTTTCCATAATATACTCCTTAATGACCACGATGCTACAGCATATATTCTACTTTCTTACTTCTTCTGCTATACCCAACTTTCATTACCATACATTATGGTAGGAAAGTACACATAATAGCCTGTAAATTGTCTTACGTGCCTTTTTAGTCACATTCTGATTACCTACAATAGAATGTAGAGCCCCATTTAGTCTATTTACATGCAATAAAACTCAATATCTCAAACAATATCCTTGTCATATCTAATATCCCTGCTAAATACACATCCCAAATACAAATCCCAAATCCACTCCTATTTTTGTTATCCTCTTCTACTTATTTCACTTATTGTTTTATTTTCTTCTCTTTAAAAAGTTATCACTTTCATCTTACTTGCGTTTACTTTAATATTTTATAAGATATGAAAAATAATATAATATCGTAATCGTAAACGTGACT